GAAACTTAAATATAAAAGTGTGATCCAATAATATGCATTCGCCTTTTTGTAGCAGCTTTTAATGCGTCTCTTATTCTTTTCCAATTGTAGTCACTTTATTTTCGTCGATTTTTACTTAGGATATAATCGCGGCTAAATTGGAGCAAAGAGAAATTAAATAAAAAGTATATTATTCATAAACAGAAAGAGATTTCTCTTGCGGATATTTTTCTCTCGCATTCTAAAATATTAATATATATTATTGTTTATTAAAAGCAATATTCCTCTATAAGAGTCGAAGATTATTATTATTATTTCCATTCATCACGCTCTCCCGTTTATCGAAGCATATCCAATTTCACCGTTTTGAAACAGAAGAACGTAACTGTCGAAGTCAATACGCGAGTTACTCCCGATTGAGAAACTTCGAGCTCAATGTGCTTCATCATTATGGAGCACTTGTCCACCTTCGATGCGAGACGAGCGGAGCGGATTAATGCTGGATGTTGCAGAGAATGCATCGTCACGCGGTGGCACGGTAAATGCGCGGCGCGCGCGCGCGCGCGAGCAGCGTGTCAGCAATTAACCCTTTATGGCCTAAATTTCTGTACACGTTGTCGCACCGTAGTCGGACACGAGTATAGTTTCGCGCGACTACCCAGCTGTTAAATTTTCTTTACAATCGCACACGTGTTTCGGCGAAACACGCCGCTTTACGAACAACGCGAAAGATTCGCCCAACGCCGCGGTTCGCAAAACAATTCTGCAATATACATTGCAGACTTATAAATTCGTCGAAAGTTGCGGAACCATCGAATAAAACACGCGAGGATCTCACGATGGGTAAAGACGGGCGCGCGCCGCGACGTAGCGCGCGATAATCAATGAACGTGAATTAAACATTTATGAAACTTCTCGCGCAATAAAAATAAATTTTCGATTAACATCGAATTAAGTGCAAAAGCGAACTTTACCGTTCTGTCGCGGTGGCAGGGATAATGAAAGTATAATATTTCTGTACTACACGTTTCAATAACTGGCACGTGCTTCGACGGATTCCGCGAGTGGTTGAAAGTTAATGTTATTCCACTTTAAGAGAGGACATCCGTTTTAATCGGCTCAACTTACTACTACCTTTTTCTCAATTACGGCGAAACGGGATATTTAATTACGACGAGAGAAAGATACGTATTTTATCCGGAACCGCGTACTCCCATAGTGCGCAAAATGTATATACCGGCATTACGTTAATCCTTCGGAGCACTGTTACGGAAAAGCGCACCGGAATGAATACCACGCGCGATCAGTACTTTCTTAATAGTTTTCATCCGCTCGTGAAATTTAGATTCTCTATTTTTTTCCTTTGATTAACGTCCGAGACATAAATCGCGTTACACACTGAGTTTCCTGCAATTCTTGTAGCGCATTACGTTTGTACGAGAATTTCTCTCATCGGAGTAACACTGCTCATTCCGGGTATTTCCCAAAAACACACGCGAGTCATCGATGATACATTCCGCTCGCGTCGTATCGGCGAGGATGCAGTGATACGCGCGCAGGGCGCGAATTTCAAAAGAAAAAAAGCTATTCACCGGCGTGAGAGCTGGAGAGAGATTTCGAGCGAGTGCACTGACCGAACAAAGAGCAAGAACAATAAAATTTGCATAGATGCCGAATAAATAACGCATGCGGAACGCGGGTTGTAAATCAAACGTATCCAGCAGCAGCAGCAGCAACGAAACGCGCGTGTGTTATATCGTCTATTATCGGGATATATCTATTCTCGGCTGCGCTGACACGATTCTTGAAACGTCAAGAATTTTATTCGTTCTCTTAAATTAATGGCGTGTCACGCTATTGTTACGCGATATCGAAAGAACAATGCTATCGATCCTAAAGAGTAATCGGGATCGAGATAAGCGCGGGTATAGCTCGCATCAAAGGGCATTCGTATCTGTCGTATCGATATTTACATAATGCAAGATAATAATGATGCGCGAGGATTAAAAAAATAAAATTTATTTTTCCTCGTCTGACTTTTACCCCGGTAAATTCGCTTTAATGAGAAAATAGAAAAAACATTTACTGAAGCTCCAAATGCTCGGGAATTAAGCGTGTGTGATCAGAGAGATTGCACACGGGATGAAAAGGTAAAAGTTCGAATTACATATGTTTCTGTTTGGAAAATCATAAAAGACTGTTTTCGCAATGACGCAAATCCGCGTTTTACATTACTTCCGCAAATTTCCCTCGTGCTGCTTCAAAATGAGAAAATGTCTTACGCCGTTATTCTTCGCGATAGCTCATATACAGACGGACGGAGATTGAAATGCGAGGATGTGCGAGATCATCGCACCCACGTGAGAAAATTCGCGTCTCTGTTCACCTGGCGAAATAACATTCGCACGTAGCTCGGATGACTGCGACGCAACGGCGCGGCCTACATATCGCGCCGGGTACGCGTTTTGTAATACGCGATTAGACGTGCCGCAACGCGGAGCGGGGGCGAGAGAACGCCGGGCGTGCAGAAAGCGTGGGTGGCTTCGATCATCGTCGAGGAAACGTGCCGGCGTTGACTCATTCCAGCGACGAGTTCCCATAAGCTCGCCGTCACCGCCGTGCAAGGTGCCGTGCATGCGCGCGCTGCAATCAGCGGGCACGTATCTACGTATGCAGTAAGAGACGGAATTGTCCGTTGACGTCATCGTCGGCGATTTATTCGATCCGCGCCCGAAGTTCGACACGCCTGTCGCTGTGTACAAAGTGTGTCTCTCTGGCGAATCGCGTAAATTCCATGAATAATCGCGGAAGAATAATTCAACGATAAAATAATTAGAACGACAATTTTAGAAATTTGAATAGAAAACCGCATTCTTAAATACACATATCAGACTTCGTTCATCGAATTAGCAAAATATAGCCACAAATCTAAAAATTCTTCACCCGATAAGTTTTTATGAGAAATTTTCATTTTAGACATTCAAGATGTCGTTTTAATGTGTTGCGATATTATTTTCAGATTTCAAAACGAGTGAAGAATTTAAAGGTTTAACATTGCATGTTTCATATCGGTTATTTTCGAAATGGCTAAATTGCATTATATGCATTGATGCATATACTCGAGATATACAGAAATGCGCGGAAGCAGTCTGGAGATGTTTGCGAAACACATTCTATCAGCCGCGTAGTTTTTGGAGATAGATTTTTCGTCAAAAACTTCACTGTTTATTTCAGGTACATACATTCCGGCCACCGTGCGTCAAATAGAAAACTTTACTTGTCGCGAGAAAATTTTAATTTTCTAGATTGATGCAATATGCAATTGCACGAGAGTACTTGTGGACTATACAAGTACAATATGGAATGTTGGGTTTACTCAAAAAAATGTATTTGCAACACTAGTGCACTTTTCTCCATATTTTTGACTACGCGATAGATATTTCTAATTTCTTTCCCCTTTTTGAAACATTCTTTGCAAAATCAATCTGCTCTCTGTTCTTATTACTTTAAATGAAATTAGAATGCGAACATTTCTCAGTTTCAAATATAATAATTTTAAATTGAAATCATATTTTTCATTAGCCGTGTGTAACGCGAATGATTCGTATCTGAATAATTAAAACCTAAATAATTAAAAGTGTTGATTCTCCGTAAAGCATTTAATTTAAGATATTACGCTGTTTCAATAAAGCTGGACGATCTCTCTCGTCGTGGACAATAACATTAATTACACTTGTATAATAATGTTTGCAAACGTACGCCGAGCATCGAACGAAACGCGCTTTCGATACGCGCGTCAGACGGAATTTCACTATACCATCGCGATATGAATTTTATGTCATACCGGGTACCACTCGTTACACAGAAAACACTACAACGATACTCCAATATCCATGTTATCGGTCTGAAAACCGTTGTATCGATAACAAACGTGCTTCATCGAATATTGTTTTGCCGTGCATCCGAAATTTTCGCCATATGATCGAGGCGTCTTAGCTCAATTTAACCTCGCGATCGATAGCACGTCGCGAGGTTAAATAATTCCAATTAACGAAATTCCATTGACGTAATTATAACAAAAAGTAAAACATGTTGCAATAAATTGCTCTCGTTAAAATTAATTAAACGGCAAAATGGCAATTGTCATTGTAAATTATTCAGTTTTAATTTTCCTTTCACGCAGCCGACAATTTGTCTCAAACTTGTTTTGAACTGAATCAAATTAAAATATCATTTTGAAGTTTACAGAAATGTAATGTACAATAAATAAAACGGACGACTATCGTCGTGTACGAATATTAAGCACACTAAAGACACTATCAATTTTCGTTACTCGCGAATTTCCCTCGTCATGCAGATCGGCGGAATAAAACAGCGCTATGGTAACTATATAGTTCCCATTCGATTGAATACACCGTCGGCTCGAAAGCCACTACCGATAACGTGTCCGCCGTAGCCCCCACCCCCGAAAATCCACAAAATTCCGGAATCCGGTCTGCCACGCGCAGGATAAAACGCAAAGAAGAACGAGGATAATAAAAAGCCCGCCGGTTCCGCAGCTCCACGCAGCCACCGCACGAAAAAATCGCCACGAAGATTTTATAATGGTCAAACTCTGCTAGCGCAGAAAAATAGCGAGTATAAAGGGACGCAATCTGACGATGCATCGGATGCGCGCGATGGTAACTAAAGTTTTATTCGTCACTCGCGTCGCTTAAAAACTCATTATTTATACGAATCATATTTCTGTTCCTCATATTTCCGCGCGACATCGTGACATTTACGAATAACACGGCAGTAATCGCACTCCAGATGTCATTCACATCGTTTCATGCGTTGAAAAAAAAATCGCATTTCAATCTATTTTTCGCCATCACGGGTATCGGAAACACACCGAAGGCAATCGCGCGGTGCAACGCTAAATCGTGTTAGCTCGTTTCAATTTGCAGCCTCGCACTTTGACAAATCATTTTTGCGGTTATGTAAATAAATTACAGTGTACAAATTACTTTTCCACTTACCTGGTTTCTATCTCGAGCTCCATCGCGACATATCCAATGGTGCAGCAAGATCGATGGTGGCGCTGATCCTCGTGTGAATCGTTACTCCTCGGCTTCACCTGCAACGGAAAGAAGAAACCAAGGTAAGTGGAAGATACGGCGCATAATCGTTGCGGTGTAGTTATCGCCGCGGTAATGACGGTACGCATCATGCGAAGCGTAATCATGCGGATAACACGAACGTATTGCGTCGTCGGAAAATGTGTCATACTATCGCGCAAGATTTTCCGCAAGAAAGGATTGAGTGCTTGCGACATTCGCATAGATCAGCTGTCGGACGTAAAATGTTCCATTCGACAATTAACTACTGATATAAAGTTTAAAAAGGATATCGCAGTTTGATGTGTCGTATATTCAGTTTTATTCTCGTTTTTCCTCTCACGACAACATAAAAACATTCGATTCGCTCATGTTCCACATTTTTAGATTTACCCAAATTACATTTTATACATTCGTATAATGATTTGGTAAAATGAGACGCAACCGCTTTTGCGCGTTGAAAACGCCATGCGAGTATTTATGTTAGTTTGTTTCACACCAGTGGTTAAAGGTTACAAATATTTCGTCGTAGTACACATGCGAGCATGTAAATCATTCTCAACGTGCACTACATATTATGCAAATGATTAAGTGGATATTTATGAAACTGAAATTAAAATTTTTATTAAAAAGAAGAAAACGTTTATTTTCCTTTACGTAATATCTCCGTGAATTTTTGTGAAAATATCACTTTCCTAAAGTTATAATAAACAGAGTTTATTATTTAATCTGCCAGTCTACTATTTGACTTTCGTCAGAATAATAAAATACGGTTAAAATAATATTTTATCGAAATATATGTGATTTACGCAACAGAGTAATTCACGTGTCAATACGAGTATCGTCTAGTGAATCGCACAGCTATTTAGTATTTCAATCGAATCATAACTTTCGTATCTCGATCAGTGTCCGCTCGAGTACCATTTAATAAAATTTCCCGCAAAATATAAGGAGTAGATCGATCAATTTGGAATTACTGGCGTTGCAAAGCGGAAACCTCGCCCTAGCCGAAGGGCGTTCTCCGGAGTGCGGCATAGACGGACACAAAGCGACCGCGCGCACACACAGTCCCTTTTTCCTCTGAATATCGGCGGAGATCTACGCGCGCTTTCGTCTCTCTGGAAACCGCTCTCAATATCGCATCGTATCGGCTGCTACTGCCCGTCCCACGGAGACACGTAAAATTCCAAATCTCAGTCCGATATACGCGTCACAAAGTATCGCCGAGAAGAACGACGCCGACACGGATGTCCGTAATTGTCGAACTATGGCGATCAAGAGGGATGACGTAAGAAAGAAATCACGGAAAGTGCAGATTAATTATTATCGTCGATCAATAGTTCAATTCTGTAACTTATCAATAAATCTCAAACTTTCGTTTTATTCTCTCTCCAGATGTGAAGAAACGGTCTTTTCGGATCTTTCGAATCATCGTCTCCAATTTCTTCACCCCTTCCTCTCTTTCCAGCAATACAACGTAAAATAACATGAAATAAAATATTGTATAATTATGTAATTATATGAAATGGAAAAGCGCAAAAAACTGTCTTGATTATTTCTTTCGTGTAAAATGTTTCGAAAACATCGAGGAACAATTTCTATTCTCTATTCCGTTCCATTGTATAAATCGCGCCTCTCTCACACATGCTTTCTCCGTCTCCCTCTCGCCCCTTTCTCGTCCACCCGCACGCATACACGCGCGACATACGATCGGACAAAAGATAATCGCGGAGCTGCCTGTCGTGTTCCACACAGCGCACGGCTTTCGGGTGTGCTGGTTGCCCGAAGGGGTGACGCCGGGCGTCGCGAGGCGGCGAAGGGGGGTAGGGGGAGGGGCCGTAACGGGGACGGCAGTCGGAAGAGAGAAGAGACCGAGAGCGCGGAGTCGCGCAAAGCGAAGAGGAGTCGGCCGGCAGGCAGGCAGGCAAGGGGAGGTTGGCGGGAGAGGATTGGAGGCGGCCGGGTAATGGGGGAGTTGGTACGCGGGGGAGGGTGACTCGGTGGGTACGGCAACGAGCGGTTTCGCGGACCGAGTGGGTGGACAGGCGGGGGGGAGGGTGGCAGCAGGGGGTAGCGCGCGGTGCTAGAGGCAGGCAACGGCAGGGACGAACGGCGAGGGGCAGGGATGGGGTTGGTTAGGCGGACACCACAGAGGGCGACGTAGCGAAGGGCGAAAGGGTGGACGGAGGGCGCGGGAAGGCGGACGGACGAAGGCGGCGGGGGATGGTGGCGGCAGAGAGTAGCGGAGGAGGCAGCAATGACGACGAGGCGCTTGGTTTGAGTTTGTGAGCACGCGCTACCACTCTTCGGGTTCTATCTGCCCACGTCCCTCGTTCTGCGTATCGCTATCCCTCTCTTTCCCTCCCTTCATCTCTCTCCTTCTCTCTCCCTATCGCGGGCCCGTCCTCTCCGTTGCACTCGTTATCTCGATTCGCCCGGTTCTTTCTCCGTCGTTTCTATGCCGCAGTCGCTTCTTCTCCGTCCCTCGCTTCGTTCCTGACACTCGGAGAGCGGGTCCTCTCCGCTTCCCTCTCTCTCCTCGCCGCCCCTTCCCCACGCCTCGTTCTCTCGCGACAGCCGCATCGGTTCACGTTCTGCGTCCCTCCGGCTGTTTCCCTCTCGCCCCCTCTCGCTCTCGCTTCTATCCACCTTTCTCCGCCGCGTACCGCGTATCAATCCGTCTCCGTCCCGCGCGCTCCGTATCTGCTTTCTCGCACCGGTTCTCCCGTTCTCGCTCTCGCTCTCGGTGCGCTTCTCCGCGGCACGCTTCTCTCGCTCTTTCTTCCGCCGTGGCACCGCTAGCCGGTCCTCTCTCCGTTGGATCGCTATGCGCGAGACAGGCCGGGCACGGGGAGGTGAAGCAGAAGGAGGTGGAGAGGCGAGTTCACGTTCCATCGCGAAGCACTGGGCGGAATTGGTATATCGGAGGATAGAGGGTGGGCGCGGGGGTAGGCGAAGGGGTGAGGAACGGGGAGGACGCGGGGACGCGGCGCTCGTAACGTAGCGACGCGCTCGAGACGCGGACGTCGTTTGAAGACGAGTTCTGCTGCGCTGGGAGGCATTCCGGGTTGTTGCACCGGAAGGACAGGCGGCCTGGGAGCCCCGATGCGTCGCCGAAGTAAGTTCTGCCGGAGCTTTAATGGAGGACTTGGATAATTAGCGCGAGTGCAGATCCCGCTGCTTGGCAGTCGGGAGTCGACGAAGCGACGAAGAATGCAAAGAACTTGTCTCGCAATGCGACAACCGATGCGACGTGCAGCCCGAGAGTTTTACGGAAAACGACGCTTCGGTTCTTAAACGGATCACTGATTTAATGCAAACAGAACGCGCGCCGAAGAAAAACATTTCCAAATCTGCATCTCTATTAGAGTTTGCATCTCCCTTTTCTCAAAATTTAACAAACTACAATGATGATTCGCGAATAACACTCGGCATTTCCATGCGTATTTTGTGCATTATCGGCGTGCCGTCTGCTTATGCGAATATCGATTACTATTATTTATGCGAGGAAGGCGTGCGTTAAGCGACATAAATTACTAGGAAAATATGAAAACTGGACAATGATAAATAATGTTAGGAATTCGCATTACCCACGAGACATTTCGTTTCTGCCGCTGTTGCCTGCTACTAGCGTACCTTATGAATGAATATGGTTATATACGATCGATAGAGAGCAGTTACATATCGCTCGCACACGCTTCACATGTGTACACATCGGTCAGATCGTTATTTACTCATAATAATGGTCGCTTTTACATGCACATACCTACTGATACGATTCAGAGTTTTGTATGCGTGCGTACAAACGCAGGCATCGATTCCAAATCACCGCGGTAGCATATTAATACATGATATTTACGATGAAGAAATGCTAACGCAAGATAGATGGAAGTTGGATAAACAGATATTCCGGTGGCGCGAGCTGTCAATATATACTTTGCCAAATAACGTCGACTGGCTCGTAATTAAAATTGAAAATTTTTCATTCACGCCGTCTATTCATTCATGCGAGTTAGAGCTCTTCATTCACTTAACACAAGCCGGATCATTCACGTGGCTTAGAAACTTTTCATTAACTCGATTGAGCCCGCGATGTATCTCACGACGCGTGCGATGATGAAAAAATTTTTATTTTCCTTTACCGTAACAGCTCGGCATAAAGCGCACGCGTTTGTTTGCTGTGTATACTTGTATGCATGCATGTATGTACGTACGTACGTTTCACGTGAAACCAATTGTCATCTATTCAATTTATTCAATTGCACGAGATACATATACATTTTGCAACCCTACGAATAATTAAAAAAAACATTTATTTAAAAACATTTTTTTAGTCTACGAATAATAAATAAATACAGAAATAATTTTTTATTGTTATTTTTGCATCTATTAGTTTAACAATTAATCTATAATTGGCATCGTCCAATTTAATTGATATTTAATTGGCGTTGCCAGAGTTATCTAAGCTCGTGTTCATTATATACACAGCGCCCTATAATTCCCGTCACAACTTTCAGTTCTGGATTGTTTTATCAGATTGGAATCAGATTGCTTGCTTTAGCATCTAAACTAATAATATAATAGTCGCCGAGATAAAAGCAATATCGCACTGAAAACGTCGATACGAAATGAAAGTGAAAATACGACGGTCCCAATTAAAGACTAAAGTTACGCGAACTAAGTTTTTCAATATCCGGTATCGCGATTTCACTGGAAATATATAATACATTCGCCCGTGCGGAGCTTACGTTTCTCTTACGCTCGTGAGTATCGATTTGCTCCACTGACATCGAAGACAAGCGTTATGATAATAGCGGCAATAAAGAATTCGTAACCCGGTAAACTTCACAATCTCAGAATGCGAAATATTGCGTAATTTATTCTTATCGTGCCATGTTTACGGTGGCGAAGTTTGTTCCGAAGAGAAATCTGCTTTTTATTCGGCGACGCAAAGTTACTTTTCTCACTCTTTTTAATTAAAAAAATTCTTTGAAATAATATCAACGTAAGACTCCGTAAG